ATTTATGCTAATTGTGCGCGGTGTTGATGTCTTAGTTTATGGGCTTCTTAGTATCGATAGGTTTAACGCATATCGTAAAGATGTATTTCGCTTGCAATCGTGCATGCGCATTACCGTCTCCCTTTCTCTTCTAATTACTTACATAATGGCTATAATTTTGCCTCCACTACACAACCGAACCCGCTAAACAACACTTGGAGGCATGGGCGCGTCGGTCAGCCAGGCCCATGCTAGATAGTAAAAGAAAGGGCTTGAGCTCAGAGGAACAGAGATTTAGAGACTTCAAGCCTACTAGATGGCTAGTCTTTGACATAATTCTGAACTTCTGAAAAAGCCGGAGAAGGCGAGGACGAACATAACTAAGCTTCCTAATTGCAAAAGATTGCCAAAGTCAGTCCTTTCAACAAGTTGTTTGAGATGGGTCACCTCGAGGGGTTCTTTCCCATGAGAGGCTGGTTGGCCTTCAAGACGAAGAGCTCCCACCTTCGCAGAGAAAACGGCCGATGGTGTGTAGGGTAGGAGAATCCACTCTTGCAACCTGATGCAGCCACTTGAAAGCGTAAAAAATGCAGTTGACGGCAGACGCCGACTTTGATGACTGTAGAAGAAACTGCAGGTAGAGGGCACAATCCACGGGCCCGACAGGGAAAGCAGGAACAACCAACACGCCTTTTTCGAACTCTGCCCATCTGTCGAAGGCCCTAAAATAGTTTTCCGATGTCCCAGAAGCCCTCGAAGCAAGTACCTGTAAGCTTGAGCTTTCGCTTCGGCTGGTTGACCTGACAGCCGTCGAAGCTTCCAGAAGACCAAAACCCAAAGGAGGAGATATCTAAGACGCCTGCAGCAAAAGGTCTCCATCTGCTGAAAACCCTCGTATAGGTGATCGAGGTTCCGGATGCTCAGGAGGCTAACGCAGGGAATTTCCAATTTCTCCGTCAAGGAGGCAACTTCACGTGAGACTGGTTGGCACGAGGACCAGAAATCTGTATAAAAATATCTAGGGAGAATACACCAAACTATATAAAAGAAAACGAGAGACAACAAAAAGAGCACATGTGACAACATATGATAATAAATATATACAAGGACATACCGAGTCCGGATCATACAAGGCTGACAAGTCCTTGTATGCAAATAGCTGACAATCATTGAACATGAACCCTTAATCGTAAGCTTATGAAGCTGCAAAACGGCAGACCCCTCAAAGGTGCATCTTAAGGGGCTCTAGCCCGTACTGTAAACAAAATTCAACAAAGTCTTACTGAATACAACAAGCAGAGCCACCAAGGGTGCATCTCAAGGGCCTCGGGCCCGTAATGTAAAACAAAAGTCGACAACTTTTAACTGTAACTGAATGTAACAAGCAGACCCACCAAGGGTGCATCTCGAGGGCCTCTATCCCGTACTGTAAAACAATAATCACAACTTTTAACCTTAACTGAATACAACAAGCTGACCCCTCAAGGGTGAATCTCAAGGGGCCTCTAGCCCGTGTTTCCAAAGCGCAGTAGTCATAAAAACGTGCAGGAACACGAAATAATACTGGTCAATACTGATGGCTCTAATGAGATAACATCGATGAATATCAAGAGCTATTTTCTGTAAAGCTGGAACTTTAGAACTAATGTTCTGATTATCTGTGTACTAGACGCCAGTCTGCGCCTCGAGGGAGTCTATAAACGCTTGTAAAGACAGTGAAACGGCAAGAAGCTCACGAAATGCGGAGCTCCGAGAGCTCTCAAAATCTGACCAATTCGGGTGAAAGATTTTGTCCTCGAACTGAATAACTTCCGCAGGCTGAATTAGACACATCTGGGTATACAATTTGCGTTGGTTTGCGCTTCACGGGCCACAAAGGCACACCGCTGATGGTAGCAAGATTGTCTTTCCAAAAGTTTAATTAGTTTATGCATTCAGGCGCTAGAGAGACAAGAGAATTCCAATTTGTGACAGATTTAACAATGGCAAAGGTATTTCTGGTCATGAGCCTAGTTACGTTCCCGACTCAGTTCCCAAGCAAAATAGTTTTACCGCTCACATTGGCGAGCTTCCGAACCTGAAAAAGGGGGTCCTCCGACCCCAAAAGAAACAATAAATCCTCTGTCAGAGATTGAATTCCGCTATCCGTCACGGAGATGAGGCATTCTTAGGTGCTAATAACAGTTCCGAGCTAGATGATATTTTGGGCTGGATCCCAAATGGATTTATCTTCATTAGGAAGAAAATCGGACTTCAACAAATTAACGTGAACCGCCATGCGCGACGCTGTTGGCCAAAATTACGCGTAACGAAACGCTTCGAAGCCCTGGCCGCCTGAACCTCCACTCTGTATATCATCTTCTCGTCTTCTTCTGATGGGTTGGTAGTGTTCGATTAAAAAAAAAAAAAGAAAAAAAAAAACCACACGGTGGCTTACATACAATTAAAGAGTATATTCTCAGTGATTGATGTGACGCGCGCTAGTGGTAGACAAGTATAAATAGATACGTTGTTTTGTTGTACATCTACATCCAAGAATGTTATTGAAACACATTGTCACAGCAATTTAACTAATCGGAAGCATTTGTAATTATTGCCCACACCAGCTGCTTGAAGTTGTAAAGTGCTTTACTACAATAAATTGTAAGTACTGACCTTGTAAGAGCACAACTTTGCAATATGGCAGTATAGAAAGAAAAAGATTGGTTAATGACATTTTCCAGAATTTTGCTATGAGATACTGTTGACCTGGGACTCGAATCACTTGGCATATAAAATTTGGTTACGTTGCTACCTATTAGGTTTGAGCAAAGCCTATCCGCTGACGCTGGGTACCGAAACGCAATCAGTTTATTGTCACATAGGATGCCCTGGTCATTGCAGCGATGGCAGTTGGACTTTAATTATTAAGATTAATGGTACTACGGACGGTCACAAGTTATTGCAATCAATAGTCATACCCCTGAATTATCAAGCAATAAAATGTAATCCAGAAGAGGGTGTTTTTTTACTTGTTTGTTTTGTTTTGTTTTTTAATTTTTATTGCTCTTTCTGTTTGTTTGTGTTTATTACTCTGAACTGATTCATTCTTACTTACTGTTTAGTCACAGGGAGTGACTGTTTCGCGATGAATGGGTGATTCAACTACTTCCATAGTTAATCAAAACGCTAGGGAGAAAAATCATCTCTTTCAAGGGAGAGGCGTGACCTTACCTAATCAATCATGACGCCACGGCCTATCATTTTCTCTTTCTGATACATGTTTGACGCCCTCAATGCCGACCACTTTTTTAAAAGTTTTATATCATAATTTCCTGGCCTTATTTTATAGAATTTCTTCCGATACACGCTGCTATGATAAGGGAAAGGTAAGGAGCATTTGGTAAATAACCTTAGCGACTTTTTCTGTTATCCTCCTCAAAAACATTTAAGATACTTTATGAGACTCTTAGGTTTATTGTCGCTTTTATTTTCAATTTAACGATCGACATATACTTTCTCGTCACCTGAATGGGAAAAATTCAATTACGATTCCGAGCTCTGCAGTATAATAGCGATGCGTGCTTGACCGGTTTTGACGATCAAGAGACAAAGTTATGGACCTATTGGCACACAAGATTCTACAAAATTTGCGTCGGTATAAAAATCGGGGACAAAATCAAATTGACGAAGACAGCTGACTCTTAATACTCGTTGATCTTTGATGTGAGATGCCGGCAAACCAGGCCTTTGTTGGTCTTATTATAAAATTGACAGATTTGAATAAAACCGGGCACCTGTTTCCAAGGGACGGCTCTTCATTTTCACTCTTCAAACATGCTTAGAAAAATAACTTTACTCCACAATTTATGGACTACTGGTTGGAAAGACGGGCGGACTGTTGCAACAGACTGATAGCAACCCACTCGGGAGGCTCTCTTTCCAAGAGTAATTTCAAAAATAAAGTGATTTCATGCTCACTTTAATTTTATTGAGACGGAAGAGGACTCGGCCAATTTTTTTCCCTTTTTTTGTTATTTTGAGCGAGTGGTTGAAGCTTCTTTCGTCAATATTTACCACATGGGATGGGG